TTTTCGGCTATTATTTTTTAAATATATATTTTTATTGATCTCAGAGAGGAAGGGAGAGGGAGAGAAACACCCATGAGGAGAGAGAATCACGGGCAGGCTGCCTCCCGCACGCCCCCTCCTGGTTGGGGATGGAGCCTGCAACCCAGGCATGTGCCCTGGACCGGGAATCGAACCCGTGACCTCCTGGTTCCTAGGTCGACGAGCAACTACTGAGCTACACTGGTCGGGTCGAAGTTATTTTTATAATAATCGGTTCTCTTCTCTGAATGCTGGGTCACGCCGGCCAGTGCCGCCCAGTGACCTGTCCTGTCTGTTCCTTAGGATGTGCATCTTCCATGTCCCGTGGGGCAGCCCCCCTGGAGTGGGGCAGCGAACCCCAGGTGTCAGACTGGGCGCACGTGAGTCCAGCCAGGACCAGAGACGCTCAGAGTGGGTGTGGCCCTGGTGAGTGGAGCTGGGGTGTCATGCAGGCTGGGCCCCAGGCAGTCCCCACCCTCTCGGTGCCCACAGCTGTTTCAGCATCGCATTTTTTTTGTCTTTACTTCTCATTTATAACACTGGCGTTTTGTGTTCTGTCTGCCCTGTGGCCTCTGTCTGTCCTGACCTCTGCCTCCACATCCCACCAGCTTCTCTCCACTGCTCCCTCTGCAGTGCTTGCCAACATTTGCCTGAACTTAACGTGTCCGATCTCCACAGACCCCAAGAGAGTCCTTCAATACCAGCGATTCAGTCGTACCTCTTCAGGGGGCAAACCTTGTCCACACCTCTCCCCTGTCCCCAGCAGCCCAGGCCTTGCTGAAAGCTGTTTGTGAGGACCTCATCGGAGACCCTGGCTTTCCTGGGCTGTGCCCCACATGTGTTTCCGCCCCCAGTGAAGGCCTCTTCCCTTCTGTGACCTTTATTTTTTTCGTTAAAATTTTTTTATTGATTTCAGAGAGGAAGGGAAAGGGGAGAGCAAGATAGAAACATCAATGATGAGAGAGACTCAGTGATCGGCTGCCTCCTGCACGCCCCCTACTGGGGATCAAGCCCGCAACTGGGAACGTGCCCTTGACCAGAATTGAATCTGGGACTCTTCAGTCCGCAGGCTCTATCCACTGAGCCACAACAGCTAGGGCCCCTTCTATGACCTGTAGATGCCAAATGCTGCATGGCAGCCCTTTTTCAACCTGAGCTATGACCTTGTTTAACCTGAGCTGTGACCTTGCTCTTAGTTCTGTGAGACACATGTTTGTAACGAGACCGCCCCTGCCCACCAGCGTCAACTTCAACTTCACCAGCATTTGTCTGCTTTCAGGTTCTTGGCCCGGAAGGGAGGATGAGGAGATACCTTGTAAGCAAAGGGTTTCGGCAGAAGGAGTGTCACAGGTCAGGACTCTCAAAGCAGGCCTTTCCACCCAGCAAGCCTACCCCTGTGAGCCAGGTGGCCTGGTCTTGAAAGACATTTCGCACTTGGCTGAGCACCAAGAAACACGCTCTGGGCAGAAACAGTGTGGGAAACAGTTCTGGTTCAGTGGGAACCTTCACCACCAGAAAAAGCATAGTGGAGAGAAGCCCTTCAGGAAAGACGAGGGCCAGGCCTTTCTTGTGAGCAGCTGCCCTGTCCAGCCCCTGGCAGTGCCCTTTGCACCTGGAGAGGCCCGTGAGGGCTTCTCAGCTCACTCAGGCAGCTCCCAGCACCGTGCCCCCCACGGTGAGTGGAAGCCACACAGTGATGGAAAGTGTGCGGAGGCCTTGCCCAGTGGACAAAGGCATTACGAGTGCGGCGAATGTGGGAAAGCCTTCAGCCGCAAAGACTCGCTCGTCCAGCACCAGAGAGTCCACACTGGAGAGAGGCCGTACGAGTGCAGCGAATGTGGGAAAACCTTCAGCCGCAAACCCATACTTGCCCAGCACCAGCGAATCCACACTGGAGAAATGCCCTACGCGTGTGGCATCTGTGGGAAAGTGTTTAACCACAGCTCCAACCTTATTGTACACCAACGAGTTCACACTGGAGCGAGGCCTTACAAATGCCGTGAGTGTGGGAAAGCCTACAGCCACAAATCCACGCTTGTTCAGCACGAGAGCGTCCACACTGGAGAGAGGCCGTACGAGTGCAGCGAATGTGGGAAGTACTTTGGGCACAAATACAGACTCATCAAACACTGGGGCGTTCACACCGGGGCCCGGCCGTACGAGTGCATCGAGTGTGGGAAATTCTTTACCCAAAGCTCCGACCTCGTTGCGCACCAGAGGGTCCACAATGGGGAGAAGCCCTATGTGTGCGGCGAGTGTGGGAAAGCCTTTAGCCACAAGCACGTGCTCATTCAGCACCACAGAATCCACACTGGAGAGAGGCCGTATAAGTGCAGTGAGTGTGGGAAGGCCTTCAGGCAGAGGGCTTCCCTCATCCGACATTGGAAAGTCCACACTGGAGAAAGGCCATAGGCTAGCGGGGAGTGTGCCTGTCCGTGGTCACGAGTGACTGGCGTCAGAGAGAAGCTCTGCGAGCCGCCTTGGAGAGTAGCCATCAGCCGGAAGTTGACCCCCATCCCTGTGAACACCCACCCCAGGAAGATTCCTCTGAGGGACGGTCCCTCCACGGGAAGCTTTCTGGAGCAATGTGGCACGTCATCGCCTGCCCAGCACCCCTGTCACTGCCAGAGTCTGCAAGGCAGGGCCCCCCATGTTGAGCGAACATCGGCCAACATGCTCTGCTAGGCAGACCTGTACTCCCCTTGCCAACAGGGGATCCTCAGTATCCCGGGCCCATTGATCCTCACTCCTTCCTGCTCCCCCCGCCAGCCCTGCCCCAGCGGGTTTAGGTGTGGACATGACCCAGTTTCAGCCAGGACAGAGGATGTGAGTGTTGTTTTGCTGGCCACTTGCAGGGGAGTTTCTCAGTTCTCGTGGACTTTGTTGGTCTCAGGTGGCACTCCTCGTGGGCGTGTCCAGCCTCCAGGTCACCTGACTTGGGAATGGCCTGCCCCGATGTTCTGGTTTTGCAGCACATGCCTTAGTTTTGAAGTCACCTTTGATCTTGGGGGTTCAGTTCACTCTGGGCCAGTGGAGGACAGTGTGGGCTCTGCCCGCACGAGGGTTGGAGAGCTTCTGTGAGACGCCCAGCGAGTCGGCTCAGTGCAGTGGGCAGCTCTCGTTCTGGTTTCAGCCCAACTGGCATCGCTGCTCAAGGCCGCCTAGGGGAGATGCCCATCTCTGAGGCCCGACCTTGTGACCCGTATGCAAGGTCATCTGTGAGACCTTGAGCGGGGGAATTTGCTGTGACAACCTCAGGTGTGTCTGGGAACAGCCAGGAACAACAAATCCATGTTTCACATTTCCCTCCTTGGCAGAACCTGACCCCTGCGGCCTGGCAACATCCCCAAAGCGTCTTCTTCAGTAGGTAGATGTCCCTGTCCCCTAAAAGGACCAGGTAGGCGTCATAATTGTACAGAGTCGCCGATTATGAGGGAGTTGGGAGACTGCAGCAGATGGCGGGATGTGACTTCCTAAAGTGTTTCCACAAACATTTCACAATGACTTTGGTAGGAGGGCTTCCAGGAACTCTCAGGGCTGACATAGTTGTCTCTCTCACGGCTGTGCTCACTCTCAGAGCAATTGATTAAACATTTTCTGTAATAAAGTACACATGGTGTGAAATTTGACAAGTTCCAACGTGTTTGCATCTGTGAAACCAAGTTTCCCGATTGCCTTGATAATCCCTCTCCCCTCTCCCACTCCCAGGCAAACAAGAATCTTGTTTTCTGTCACTAGATTACTTTGCATTTCCTAGAATTTTATATATAGATGGACTAATTTAATAATATATGTCTGGTTTTGACTCTGCATAATTATTTTGTGATCCATCGATGTTTTGTGTGTCAGTAGTTCATTCCTTTTTACCCATATCTTTGCTGAAAGTAATTCTTTTTTGGGGAAATAATTCCAAAGCAAGTGATCCAGAACTCGGAATAATGAAGCCATAGTATCCATTAGAACCATAAAAGGAAAATGGTGTGTGTGGGTAACAGACTAATTTTGTTACAAGGTGGACGGAGATTCCACGGCTGAGCATACAAGGGGGAGGGGGTTTGTGGGTTTTATTTCATTTTTATTTATTTATTTTGTATGTGTGTGTGGGGCGTTTCTTGGACACCGGTGACCACATAGTTTTTGTTTGTTTGTTTGTTTGTTTTCTCTTTTTCTTATTTTCTTTTTAATTGTCTTTACCTTTTTAGTCTTAATGACTTAATTACGTTGGCTGATTTTCAGAAATTTAACTAATCTTGCATTTGTGAGGGGAGGGGAGGAGGGAGACACATCGATTGGTTGCCCGAACTGGGGCTGGGGATGGAACCCAGGGCACATTTTTTTACTTTTTAAACCGAATTAAAAAAAAAAACAAAAAAACTTTTCAACTCTGTAATGTCACCGCTTAAAACAAACACATTTGTACAGGTGTACAAACTTTTCTATAAGCTAGGACAGTGGTCGGCAAACTCATTAGTCAACAGAGCCAAATATCAACAGGACAACGATTGAAATTTCTTTTGAGAGCCAAATTTTTTAAACTTAAACTATATAGGTAGGTACATTGTTATTAACTTAATGAGGGTGCTCCTAAGCTGGCCTTTGCTAAAAACGTCCTCAATCTGAGGGGTCGACCTCAGCGAAGGTACCCCCACTTCTTCTAATGCCACTTCTTCAAAATAGACTCCCCCAGGCCGAAAACCGACTTCTGCGCATGGGCCACGAAGTTTCCAACACAATGTACGTGTGCACCCGCACGTGGTATTTTGTGGAAGATCCACACTCAAGGGGCCAAAGAGCCGCACGTGGCTCGGGAGCCGCGGTTTGCCGACCACTGAGCTAGGAGAACATCAGGCTCTTATCTGGCACCCCTTGGTTAGGCCCAAATCCGACACACACCCCACCTCCAGCCCCCCAGGGGTTCCCACTTCCGGGAGGACAGGAGCACCAGGTGCCCCTTCCAGTGGCAGACCTTGGGGGGTGGGGGCGGGCCCAGCAGTTCCATGAACCTCCCGCTGGTTACTTAAGACCATGACGCCTAAGGGGCTGCACAGCCACAGCGCAGGACACACACCTCCGCACTGTGGCCGCGCTGGGCCCGCCCTGCGCCGCAGCCCGCCTCCCCCAGGTCACTCCGGCCTCTCAAGTCCAAATCCCTTCTCCCAACAACA